ATAACGCCCCTCCCCCATCCTCTTAAGATTGGTGTCTCCACCTAGTGGTTGAAGTACAGTAGACATATGTAAAGCCCAGTCCTCTGGCTCCATGCAAGGCAGGTTCCTCAGAGCTAGTCCTGCTTTCTAGAGGTTTTTGGCTTTTTCTCACCCTGTCCTTTCAACTCTAGCAGCAGTTCTGATAAGAAGAGGGCCATTTGGTGGGATTTCAGGGGGACCAGGGATTTCACCTATCTTGAGTACTTTCCCAGAACTACCAGCTATTGAAGCCAAGCCTATGGCTCAGATCAAAGGGGGGCTTCAGCTCCATGTGCCTGCAGCCACTTCACCATTTGACAGCAGCACTGGGAACAGCCATCAAAGATGTTCTGGTGCTGATTTGCCTAAGCAGAATATGTCTTATGGGAATTCACAACCAGTTTTCTCCTGCTACTTCTTCAGGACTTGGCTAAACCTGACAGCAGACTCCAAGGAACAGGTCAATTAGAGAGGAAGGACATGAACAAGATGCAAGACTGCTGCAAATGTTTTAAGGAAGGCAAAAATAGCAAAGTCCAGGATCTTTCCTGCTCTGAGCCTGGCCCCCCACTGCCTCTCCATATCCATCTTCACAGAGGCCAGCTAGGGTTTGTTGTTCTAGAGACAGATTTGTTATTTAAACAACCACCTGCACCCAAATCCTCAGGCAAAACACCTGTGGTCCTGAATTCTCATAGAACCAAACCTCACTCCCTTTCTCTTTAGGAAGACTAAGTTTTAGGGGCACTAGTGGCCACAGTTCCTTTGTTTAATTTCTGAAAGCTCAATGCCCCTTCAACCTTCTTCATCCGCCTCAAGATAACTATCAAAGAAAGAGAGTCCTAAAAATCCTCTTCTTCTTGTGAGGACTGACTATCCCCCACAAACTCTCTGGCCTCAGATGTCTGACTCTCTCTTATCTCACCTTTATCCTATTGGATGAAGTTGATGTGTGGGTCTTATTCACTGTACCTTTAAAGTAACAGAACCTTCCTCCCAGCCCAGTACCCTCTCCAAATGGAATGAAGGAAGAAAGGCAAACCAGTCTTTCCTAAGCTAGAATAAGGCAGGATTTTTCCCCTCTTCCTCGGTTGCTACTCTAGAGTTGGAGACTGCTTGATGGTAATGGCCAGATTGCTTCTTGCTTGACCAAATCAGTCATTAGCTGCAGTAATTCACCAAACTGAGCCAACATGGCAATGTCATTGACACATTTGAGGTCTCAAAGAAAAATGGTGTTCAGCTCAATGCCACAGATGGCCTCCAACTCTAGATTTCAGTTACAACTCTAGTTTTCCATCAAGTCGTCTCCAGCGCCAGATGGCAACTAGCTCAATATTAACCTGTCCAGGTTGGATATTGAGCAGATGGCAACTGTCAAATAACTTGGGACGTGTCATAGTGTTGGAGGATGTTTGAAAGACACGGATCCTCCTATAGCAGCAGCTGCCACCATGTTATGGGCCTCTCTGGAGATGTTGTGACATCAAGCTTTCCACAAAGCTGCAGCTCTATGGAACCACAGTTATAGCAACATTATTGCATGGCATTGAAATGTGGGTGCCGAGGAAGGGTGAAGAGTGGTTGATTGATGTTTTTGATTCTCATTGTCTTCATCAGCAGCTCCCTATTAAGCGGCAGGACAAAATCTGCAATTAGGATATTGGTAGCCAAACCCAGCAACTGCCTCCATCAGCACTGTTTCGGTTTCAGCAGCATTCCGATACAGACATATAATTAGGAAGACCAATGAGTTCTGAAGGACGTTCACCAAGGAATTTCACCACACGTTCAGCAATCACATTGTCACCAAAAGCTTCCATGGCACAGATCACCAATGATGGACATAGGCCCAACATCCAGCCAAACCATCTTAAAGCCTAGGGATCAATCTAGGTCGTGCATGATGTGCAAGGAGGCATTATGTCCCTTTGGGATTTTCCTTGATGAAAACAATGGGCTAGTTCTCTCACGATAGAGGCCACTGGTTGCAGTTCCTGTGGATGAAAGGTTCTTATGCTTTGTATTCAACATTCTTTGTGGACGACATAAGTTGGTTTTTGCCTGGTATGAATTTCGCAGTGTACAAGGCACATGGAGTCTCTTGCCTTTCCAATTCAGGATATAGCTCTATAGGATTATTTTTGCTCTTCCAGCCTCAATGAGGTCTGTCTCCACATTATGATTCACTTAGCTCACCAAAGCTATCAGTGCTTTGCAATCAGACACGATCAATAACAATTTCAGCAATGCCCTTTGGTCTTGTGTGTTTTCACAAAGCGGATGCAATCCTGATAGTCAGGGAACCCAGATTTCTGTGCTAAAGGCTCAGTTGTGAAGCAACTGCTCCTCGATCCAGCAGAACTATCTAGGTCATGGAGAACCATGGTTTGGCCGTCGATTATCGAAAATGCTTCTTAAGCTTGTTGCAAGAGCTCCAATCAGGAGGCTGGTTAAGCAATGGAGCCTCACATGTTTCTGTAAGTCAGAAGCCCACAAACTGTAAGGTGAGCCCCCCTAGGGGGTGCTGAAGAACGTTTGGAGGGTGCGGTAGGGCCCGGGCCAGCTCCCACGGGAGATGGGGAAAGAGCGTCACCTGGCTCTGCACCCGTCCCCTGGCTGGGGCTCTGCTCCCAGCCCTGCCCCAGCCTTGGCCCCGGCCCCAGATCTGGCCCCAGCTGCGGTTCCCTTGCCCCCGTTGCACCCCCCGGAGCCATGGCTGGGGGGGGGAGGGCACGACCCTGAAAAGTTTGGGGATCACTGCAGTAAGTCTTCAGCAAGACCCTCATTTTTAGGCAGAAAAGCTTCCCTTTATTTTCTCACCCCTCAAGATGGCCGTCCTTTTGGCAATAACTGGCAGGAAGAGTGAGCACACTGGCAGTTACTGTCTATTAAAACAAAGTATTTGAAATTATTTCCTGATGATGTTTAGTTCTTATGCCAGCTCCAGGATGTCTTACCGATTTTTTTTTTTGAACCACAGCCCTCCACACCCTAGTAACTCCACTTCATGCTTCTGAATGTGGCCAGAGCACAGAATAAAATCTTGTATATAACAACTGAGAAGAAGCTTGATGCTGTTTTACATGGGGGACTTGAGAAAGGGTACAAAGCTTATAAATCTACTATTTTTTGATGGATAATGTAAGCCATTATTCAGGCCTATAAGTTGTTCAGTAGAGACCACTCTACAATAGTTAGGATTTACTCCACCAGGTGTGTCCCTTCCTCATGAGCGGATGAGCTTAGGGTATCTTGCAATGTGATTTGCCATGTATCAACTTGATCTTCAGTGCGTTTTGGATTAAAGATCTTCTAGTCTTCAGATGCTTGTACTAAAGGGCTTGACTATGTGTTCTGTCCTTGTTGTGTCTAATTTTCCGCTTCCATTTATTGAAGATGTTTGTTAATGCTTTCGCTATTTCCCATACCAGACTGACAGGGCAGGAAGTACCCAGGTGGAAGAAAGATAGAATTGGTTTCTTTACCTGTAATTTTATCAGCAGCAGGCAGGTACCTGCTGCACAATCAGAATCCACTTGTGCTTATCTAAGAATTCTCTAAGCCTTATTGGCTTGAAAAGGCAAGAGAATAACATGTGGGGGCTGAATAAGAGACATTGATCTAGCAAAACATTTTAGTTGTTTATTTTACTATGTGGTGGGTGGGGAGAAGGAGATAAAGAGAGACTTGTATTTTCCTGCTTTTTGGTAATATTTTTCTAATGTTGTTCTTAGTCTTTTATGTATCCTCAGCTATAGCAGTATGCCTGAGCTGTAAATGTGTCAAGAGTCATCAGGCGACTCCAGAAATCAGCTTTGGGGCTAGGGGGAGAATTCATGAGGGTCTGGTGTCTACCTCCAAAGCATGGAATGAAGGCAAAAGGTAGGCCTTGTCTCACAAATGGACTGAGAACACTGTCCAGTTGAAAATTACAGGTAAGGAAACAAACTTTACTGTTTAATAAAGGATGTTATGAGGATGCCTACTGCTGTTTGCAAAAGGGCAATAGTGGCAGGGAATGAAAGCAAACCAAAACATCCACACAATAAGAACTGATCACTCTCCAAAAGTCTCATTTTGGCTTCAGCTAGTCAGATCTTTTCCACCTGCTGGCAGAACACAGTCTATAGGAAGTTTCAGAGAGGAGGAAAAAAAGGAGGATGTTTTGTCATCTTGCTGGAAGGAAGAACTGTAAATGATTCCTCTGTTTTGTGTTTTAGTTGTTGGTCATCATTGATTCACCTCTTCTACAACATTGAATCAGCACTTCTGAAAACAGAACCTGCAGAGCAGTTAATTGGTTTTAGAAATCCCAGGTTAGTTTACTGGAAAAGAGCCAGATCAGTGGTAGCTAAAGAAGATGTGCAGAAGGATGGATGTGTGCAACTGTTTTTAACAATGTACATATAAAACTGAGGGCAAACAGGAGGGAGATGAGGAAAAGAAAGGGAAAGTTAAGGTTGAGCATGCTTCTTTTTAGAAATTCTCTGCCTGTGTACAGCTGGCTAGTGGAGACAGTGCAATTCTGAAAACAGCCTTTTGCAGAGGGATTGCAGAAAAACTATCAACTGAGAAGATGCCAGAAATTCTGCAGCTGTTTCCTGTGCCATGAATCTGGACTGATGAAATTGGATTTCTAGGTGATTCAGCACATGTGGCTTTTTTGGAGTCATTCAGTCATTGGGACCTTTTTATTTTTTTGTTAAATAACTTGATTTATTTTCCTGTTTCTCTGATCAAGTTTGTAAGTATACTTTTGTAATGATTTACTATCCTTTCTTGGTCTTTTGTCCTGTCTCATATTTTATGTCTTGGAGCCTTAGTGCCTTTTGTCCTTGGCGGGGATCAGCTTCTTTCATTTTTGATCACTGGTCCTAGGACATGCTTGGAGAAGTTTCTACTGGTGCCACCAAAACATCTCTGGTGCTAGCAGGTATCACATCTTTACATCACACCATTCTGACTGCCATCTTGCTTTTTTCCACTTCTCAGATTATTTTAGCAATGAGCATCTCACACTTTAGCAGCTTTAGCAATGGACACTGTTAAAAAGAGTGATGTTTTATCCTGGTTGAAAACTGGAGAACTCAGCTCTGGCTTGTCTTTGGCAAAGTGCTTCTCCTGCCACAGTCTTATTACCAGGCTATATTTTGCCCATATAGTAGGACTAGCTTTCACGGGGACACAGATGTAATCATCACTCACCACTGCCCTGGGGATCTCTGCAGTGCTGTGGGCACCAACTTTTGTTGAAACAGTTCCTGGTAGTGCCTTGTACACCCTGGCTCAGGCAAGCTAGGAACTTCAGCACTTGGTGGGCCTCAAAGAGCTTTCCAAAGGTCTATAGCCACCACACTCCTCCCAGGCTACTACTTGGAGCATCATTTCAGGGCATCTCAGTAATACTTAGAACATTCAGATGCAAATCAGCCCAACTGTTTACCTTTAAGGTTTCATTCACTGTTGATCTAGAACTAATTAGTTCCAGTTTAACATGGGAGTTAGAGTGAGAAAAGGGCCAGGAGGAGAGTAAGTCAATCACACCTCCAGTAACCACCAAAGATCAGTGGTATTAATCCATGTGATGATGTTTCTGAGCAGTAACAAGTCCACAAGGACAGCGTGATGAATCTGTTGCTGCTCTTTCCCTCTTGCACAGGAGGGATATAGGTCTCCAGAGGGAAGGTTTGGTGGCAGTTGGTGAGGAGTGTCACAAACAGAGTGTGAGGCGTGACCTGGGAGGAGCCTCCATCCTTGTGCCCGTCTCACAAACATGGCTCCTTTGAAATCTTTTGTGGGTCCCTGCTGCACACTGATCAGCCCGAGGCTCTGTCTACGTCCCCACTATATATGATCTTGTCTCTGCCATGAGTTTCTGCTCCCCAGTGCCCCTTTTGCCTTGGCACCTCCACCTAAGGAGGTATTTTCCTCACTCTGCAGGGCTCTCCCCCTTCCACAGACACCATTTTCCCCCAAGTTCATTCTTCAAGGGTCCAGACCCATCAGTTGTATGCCGTTTCCCCACACGTGAAACACTCAGGGATCTACCCCTTCTGGTCCAAACCTCCCAGTGATCACACCAATAGATGAGGCACTCAGATCTTCAGCATCCAAGTTTCCCAGAGTCTGTGTTCTTATTGGGGCAATACCTCTAACGTGGCTCATCCCCCCCCACTTCAATAAAAGGATGAAACCCTTAAGAGCCCCCCCTGTCCTTGTCCCTTCTTGAGTCATATAACAAGTGGAGTTCCGCTGAGCATCTCCCCCACTTCTTCTGTGCTCCATGGAGCCGAAACAATCTAAAAAGCACAATTTACATGGGGCAAACACTTTTTATGTACCCCACTCACCACCAGGCAAAATATTCCCTCCATTGGGCCTCACACTTCAAAGGCTTCGAACCCCTCTTTTCTGCTTTAAACCTGTGCCCCTGACACTGTTCATCTTCAGAAACTTCAGGAGTTACTGCTACTGCTCCTCAAGCAATATCGAGAACACAAGACTTGGTAGTAATGGAGGACTTTAATTACCCAGATATATGTTGTAAAGTATTTGGCAAAACACAACATTTCTAGTAAGCTGGGGACAACTTTACACTTCAGCAAGTGGAGGAAGTAACCAGGGAGATGGCTATTTTAGACTTGATTCTGACCAATGGGGAAGAATTGGTAGCGAATCTGAAGGCAGAAGGCAATTTGCGTAAAAGTGACCATGAAATGACTGATTTCATGATTCTAAGGAAAGGAAGGAATGAGAGCAGCACAATAAGGACAATAGACTTCAAAAAAGCAGACTTTTTGCAAAGTCAGCGAACTGTTAGTTCTATTCCCCGGGGAAGAAAATCTAAGGGAAAAAGTTGTTCAGGAAAGCTGGCAATTTCTCAAGGCAACAATATTGAAGGCACAACTGTAAATTATCATGATGTGAAGAAAAGATAGGAAGAAAAGCAAGAGGCCAGTATGGGTCCATCAGTAGCTCTTTAATTACCTGAAAATCAAAAAAGAATCCTAAAAGAGTGGAAACATGGACAAAATGCTAAAGAGGAGTATGAAAGAAGGATGTAGGGACAAAATCAGAAAGGTAAAGCACAAAGTGAGTTACACCTAGCAATGGACATACAAAGCAATAAGAAGAGGATCTTTAAATACACTAGGAGCAAGAGAAGGAAAGTGTAGGTCCTCTACTTAGCATTAAAGGAGAACTAATAACTGATGACATCAAGAAGGCTGAGGTGTTTAACCTTTTTAGTGAAGACTGAAGCAAAATATACATTAATGGTGACCAGATACTCAACATAATTTATATTTAAAACAAGGGGGAAGGAACACAAACCACAAAATAGGGAAAGAGCAGGTTAAAATTGTTTAGATAAGTTAGATATATTCAGGTTGGCAAGATGATGGAGTGGGCGGGGGGTTGACCAGTTACTTCATTATCTGGAAAGATACTGGGGCAAATCATTAAACAATGCGCTTGTAAGCACTTAGGAGATGAAAGGTTTATGAGGAATAGCCAAAGCAGATTTTTCAAAAACAAGTCATGCCAAACCAAACTAATTTCCTTCTTTGACAGGGTTACTGGCCTAGTGGATAAGGCAGAATCAGTAGAAGTGATATAGCTTGATTTTAATAAAGCTTTTGACACAGTCCCAGATGATGTTCTCATAAGCAGTCTAGATGCGGTCTAGATGAAATTACTATAAAGTGGGCGCTCAACTGCTTGAAAGACCGTACTCAAAGAGTAGTTCTCTGGTTCGCTGACAGATGGTGAGGGTGTATCTAATGTGGTCCTTCAGGGGTCAGTCTTGGGTCTGGTACTACACCTCTACCTCGATATAACGCTGTCCTCGGGAGCCAAAAAATCTTACCGCGTTATAGGTGAAACCGCGTTATATTGAACTTGCTTTGATCCACTGGAGTGCACAGCCGCCCCCCCCCCTTTCCTGGAGCACTGCTTTACCGCGTTATATCCAAATTCGTGTTATATCGGGTCACGTTATATTGAGGTAGTGGTATGTTCAATATTTTCATTAATGAGTTGGATAATAAAGTGAAGAGTGGGCTTATAAAATTTGAAGATGACACCAAGCTGGGAAGGACTGCAAGCATTTTGGAGGACAGGATTAGAATTCAAAATTACCTTAATAAAATGGAGAATTGCTCTGAATCCAACAAGATGAAATTCAATAAAGAAAAGTCCAAAATATTCCAGGAAGGAAGGAAAAATGAAAGGCACAACTACAACATGGGGAATAACTGGCTAGATTGTAGTACTGCTGAAAAGGCTGTAGGGCAGGGGTTCTCAAACTGGGGGTTGGGACCCCTCAGGGGGTTGCAAAGTTATTACATGGAAGGTCACAAGCAGTTAGCCTCCACCCCAAGCCCCTCTTCGCCTCCAGCATTTATAATGGTGTTGAATATATTTAAAAGGGTTTTTAATTTATAAGGGGGGTCGCACTCAGAGGCTTGCTATGTGAAAGGGGTCACCAGTACAGAAGTTTGAGAATCACTGCTTTAGGGGTTAGAATGGATCACAGATTGAATGCGAATCAACAATATGATGCAGTTGCAAAAAAGGCTAATATCATCGTTAACAGGCGTGTTATATGTAAGACATGGGGAGGTAATTGTTCAACCCTACTCAGCACTGGTGAGGCCTCAGCTGGAGTACTGTGCCCTCTTCTGGGCACCACACTTTAGGAAAGATGTGGACAAATTGGAGAGAGCCCAGAGGAGACCAACAAAAATGATAAAAGTTATAGAAAATCTCACCGGTGAGGAAAGGTTTAAAAAACTGGGCATGTTTAGTCTTAAGTAAAGAAGAGTTGGGGGACCTGACAAGTCTTCAAATATGTTAAGGGCTGTTAGAAAGAGGACAGTGATAGATTGTTCTCATGTCCATTGAAAAATAGGAAAGACATAATGGGTTTAATTTGCAGCAAGGGAGATTTTGGTTAGATATTAGGATAAACTTCTAACTATTAGGGCAGCTAAGAACTGGAATAGGCTTCCAAAAGAGTTTGTGGAATCCCCATCATTGGATTTTTTTTTTTTAAAAACAGGATGGACAAACCCCTGTCAGGGATGGTCTAGGTTACTTGGTCCTGCCTCATCTCAGGACCCTGTAAGCCCTACATTTCTATGATTGAATGCTTAGCTCCAGTTGCACCTCATGCTGCTTCTGTCATCTGGCTCCCAGCAGAAACTGGAATGGAATCTCCTGAGATTGCTACCATCCCTCAAGGCACCAGCTTGGGGTGAACCTTCCTTCCTCAAAGCAGGCTTCTTCATACTTTGGCTTCGTCGATTCCTGAACA